CAAACAAAACTGAAAACAATGTTTATGTTAAATTTTGGAGTGACAAACAAAGAGTATTATGGTATGTTATGGTGTTTTCTGGAGTGGCCAATGGTGCGTTTCCCTGACCCCAACAATACTAAAACAATAGAAAGAATGACATGTCATCGTTTCCTGTGACCAATTAGGAGAGACCTTACGAACAGCTCTTACACTACTACCCTACTGGGCATGCATAAAAACCACGGGCGTCAAAATGAGGGGCGTCGGCCATTTGTGCTTGATAAAAAAGCTATAGCTCATGATATTTCGAGTTAAAACTTGTGTGTAAATGAATCCAAAACCATCCGAAAGGTATCTAGTCGCTTTGCCATCAAGAATCGGACTTAGCTCATTATTTAACCAAGTATAAATGAGAAATGAAAAGAACTTTCAGGAAAATTTTCTTTAAAAGCTTACTTAATCATGCTTCAAATTAGTCGATGATTGCATGTGAGACGTTTTGAGACGTTTTTCCATTTTTTCTATGTCATTCTGTGGGAGGGAAATGTCGAACTTAACATTAATCAAACTTATCAGTATTTGGTGTATTATGATCACGAAAAAATCAACATAAGGTTCGTCAGTTATGCGATCGACAGTTCAGTGACAGTTTTGACAGTTTTGTCAACTTTAAATTCGTATAGGCTTGACACCCTTGGTAAAGTGACGGTAGGTTTTTCCGCTGAGCCGTCACTTCTCTGTAGGACCAGGATCAAACCACTAACTGGTACAGCAGTAGATTAAACAGGACTAAACTTTGGTTCCAACAGCGTTTATTCTTCAGCGGATCAAATGACAATAACTCAGGTAGGAAAAGGCGAAAATAATCGAAAAACAGTAAAAACTAGCTTACCGGTACTTACATATGATTCTTCTACAACCATTGAAGACAAAAGAATACAATAGAAATATAGACAGAAATCGCTTAGAGTTAAATGAAAACTAATTAAAACTCTATTTTTAACCTGAAATCTTTTATTACCGTTGTTATTTTAGACTCTGTTTACATTGAGTGGGGGACCCCGGTTTAGTGGGGCAGGTCTCTTTTGTGTTGTGTCCCCCAGAGCGTGAAAACAAAAGAAACCAACCCCACTAGACCGGGATCCCCACTCCATGTAAAAAGGCCCTAAGAAAGTAAAAGTACAGTTCTGAAATAAAGACCTTGTAGCCAGGTCAGCAAAACAGCCTTTAAGTACAAAGTATTATAACATGAATGAAAATACAAGTTCAGCGAGCGGCTGTTTCAATAGAAAGAAGCGTAGACTAATTGCAAGCCAGTTTTCACCTTAAGGTGATTCCCTTGTTTTGCACTGCGCATCTCTTACTGCGCATAACAAGATGGCCTCCGTAAAAAGAGCATGTGAAGTAACATTATTAAAATAAAGTTGACCGAAGAGAAACGCTCTTGCAATTTTTGCTTGCGGTTGTTTCTTGCCCAGGTGAGACTCAATGTGGTGGGAATGTGCATAACGTAAGCAGTATGCGTGTTGCTGAGTTCGACTTCCTCACGGAGAACCTCGTTAGTGGATGTTTAATTTGTGCTTATTCACTCTGATTTTCATTTAAACGCTTTCTTTATCACATTGTGTTCTAAATGTGATATCTCGATGTAAATTCCGTAAAGACAGATTTTTTAATACTTTCTTCCCCCTTTCACATACATTCTATTTTGAAACTCACCCCAGTCCTCTCTCAAAAATTGAGGAAAATGCATTTGGTGCGCACTTTCTGCAGCTCTACTGCAAAAACGAGTACGGTGACCCCCATTTTTTATTTCATGATTTTAATAAGGACAGTGCTTTCTTTTGGTGAGAAAAAAATTGGCACAAATCTATGTTCAGTTTTTTGGCAATTTTACTAAATTGTACGGATTGAGCTATCACGTGTCGAATAGCGCGTGTCCAATTTAATTCTACTTTGGAGCGTAAAGTAAAAACAAGGGCATTAAAAGGCATTTTTCTGGTACGTAAGTGGATAAACAATACATTAAAGTCAAATTCTGTGTGATACCACATGCATCATTGAAAAAATCTTTCCTTTTTGTCTAGTTTTGCGCTGCGCGCAGTTTTTGTCAAAGGGTCCAAAATAGCCATATTTGTCAGCATTGTGACGTCAAAACAAGCACGGTCAACCCCACTTTTTATTACCTTTTTATCATCTTCTTGACTTGTTACATCAGTGTACCAAGTTTCATCTACAATCTATGTTAGGTTCTTTTACTGGGGAATCACCTTAAACAAAAACCGATCTATTAAAAAAAGACAGCAAAACCTTTCATATTCAAAATTCACCTGTTGCTCTATTTGACTAACAACTTAATGAAATATTTGTTCTCAAACAGACGGGTAAATTGCAATTAAAACAAGGTGCACCTGTACAAAGGCCTATGAACAGATGTTGTCCGGTTGTAAAATCACGATAGATAGACTGAAGTTAAATAAACATTATTCAGAAACTAATTATCCTTTTAAAAGTCATCATTGAAGTAAAATACAGTGTTTATAATTGAAAAGAGAACGAGCAATTAGTTTTGTTTGTTAAGGAACACTGTTGGCTTTTCTACAATTATTACTTAGCGGACACAAAGCACATTAAAGGACAATAAAATGGCACGAGCCTTTTTGCGGAGCTAAGACATCTTTATGCAAATTCAGTATGAATTACTTAAAACAGCGCCAAAGATATGAAATTCAAGACAAATAAAGAATTCATGGAAAATCTCTCCTTACATTGCCTTCGAGCTTCGACAATCTTTTTACATCTGGTTCTCTTAATTTCTTCATGATTACAAATTAAACGCAATTTGCTCAGTATCTTCGACCCAATATAAAGTCTCGCACAACCTTAAAACAAACAAAATATCTTGCCAATGCACAAACTTTTGGAACTCTCCAAGTTCAAACGTCGATCTTTTCATGAACCAAACTTAATACCTATTTAGCTCGACCCAAATGATAAGTCATTCGACGGTTGATTCAGATGTCGAACTTAATTAGTCAATTCATTTTCATGATTTTCAATGGTCTAAAATGCTCACAAGTGAAAATAAATCTTAATAATTTATGCATTAGGTTCGGCACATGAGAAGTTCGACGTTTGAAAGAGCGAAGTCGCTCAGCAGTCGAAATTCCCATGTGGGCCTCTCATTGGTCCGGACCCAGATAAGATATGTCGAATTTAATGATTCTAACGTCGATCTTTTTATGTACTTAATTGAAGGATAAAGGTCCGGTACATGAGAAGTGCGACGTTTAAACTAGGCGTAAGCAACCATTTAACTACAGTAACTGGTCTATAGCTAATTTTAAATTTTCCTTCAATGTGAACTTTTATCGAAATATTTCTTGTTAATATGTTACCTTCCTTATCATTTATAATCCAACTAACACTCCATATATTTTCTAAATGATTATATAACTCTTCCTATTTTGTAAGTAATTTTGTTAGTAACTGATGTTGATTCTACTCCTTTTTCCTGTATCTTAGGAATCTGTGGTTGATTTTGTAAAATCGCATCTTTCCTCTTCTTTTTAGTCTAATGTTTAATACAGTGATATGGGCATCCCCGCGTTTTGGGCATCCCCATTCCCAGACCTTAGTGATATAGACATCCCCTTCTCATATTACCTTAGCGATTTGGTTTAGGGTTACAGGGGATACCCACATCACTAGGGTTTTGGGAATGGGGATGCACACAGCCGTTTTTAGTGTCATCACGCAACGCTCGTAGCACACTAATATCACCGTCTAGTTAAACTAACCTAGAGGGAGCCTAGACCCTATATAAGCCCCAGGCTTCCCCGTCACCATCTTTTTCTATACATTTATGTAAATACAACAACCTGTAATGTGACACGAACAAATAAATCGGAACAAGAAGCATCATTTTCTTTCTCTTCAAGAGATAAAGACCTGCGATCCTTGAGAAGAACGCTCAACCCCGTAATGGTTGCTAATGATTGTGTCAAAAATTAAACTGACTTCAACTGCAGATAGCTAGGAACTTGTTTGCTGCATTCTTCATCGTACCTTTACAAGAACAACAACAAAAAACAGCAAAAGCACCGTTAGATAGCTAGCAGAAGGATAGTGGTTTCAGGTAGCGACTTCGAAATCATTTCGAGCAAAGAACCACCTTTTCAGAGACTGAGTAACAAATATCGTAAGAATAGCAAGACTAACAATCGAAATTTGTGGACTTCTCGGGGCCCTTTAGTTCTCAGGATTCTAAGTCTAGAATTTTGTTAAATTCGTTACTCCGTCTCTTTACATAGCAAGGAAAATTGTTGTTACTTTTGTGATTTCTGCGAAATTTGCTGACTTCTCGTGGCAGTTCTTGGGCTTTTCTCTCTCTTAATCTAGAATTTTGTTAAATTGGTTATTCATGCTACTCTTGCGATATTTGCTAATGAGTGTCTCACAAAATTTTCTTGTGACTACAGAATCATTTTTTTTGCTAAAATTGCGAAAACAATTTGCTATCAAATTTTTGCTCACAAGATTGCTCCTGGACATATATCACCTACCCACCAAAAATGCCAAAACAATCTTTTCACACAAAGAGCAACATACCTGGGGACTCTCCGGAATTTCCGGTTTTCGGGTTTTCCTTATGTAGGTAAGTACCGCTGGACACTTTCCTAAGCGACCGGAAATTTCATCTTGGAATTTTGGGTGGTCGCATATGTCAAGTTGCACTGTAAGTTACAATGCAACGAACTCAAACAGGGCCAAGGATACTTTGAAATGTAAGGAAATCATGAGACTTGAAATAAATTTCATTTGTAGTGTTTAACTGCCAAACGAAGTCTCCTTTCTTACTGTCAACGTGACCTGTGATTGGCAGATTGACGCTACACGTGGCACCGGTTGAGCTCGTTGTCCGATAAAACGACAAAAATAATTGCTAGTTAAAATGACGATTGCAAATGCAGGGATTATGATCCCAGGTTTAAATATATTCGAAAATACCTTGCTATTTAATCGATGCCTTCAAACTCGAACGTTACGTCATCACCAATAAGAACAAACGGCGCCCAGTACTTCACTGCGCTAAAGCGGTCAGATTCTCTCATGGATTTCATGGCTTTATTCAGGGCCTCACTGGCACTTCGTCCATAGACTAGTTGTTGGTAGAAAACTTTCATGAACTCCATAGTAGCTTCGTCGTCGATCGCCCACAGGGACACCAGAACAGAACGAGCACCGGCACCCAAAAAAGCACGCGCGATGCCGACCACACCCTCAGATTTGACTTCTCCCCGAGCACTATGACAACAACTAAGTACAACAAGTCTTGCCCTAATCTGCGCCTTTAAAACATCTTTCATAGTTAAGATATAGTCCTCCCTGGCTGGATCCACGGATGGAGGCGTTGTCTTTGGGGCCAAAGCAATTTCTCCTGTTTCCATTTCACCGTGAGCAGCAATGTGCACCAAAGCAACCGAGGAGATACGTCTCAAAACTTCATCTTTTGTTGCCTGCTTTCCAACGAGAGGTTCCGTTTGAAGTATTTCCCCAATCATCTGCACTTCTTTTTCGGCCCACTCTAACTGCCCTAGCGTCGTTACCTCCTGTACCCACGGATCGCCGACAAGAAGAGCGCCGGTCTTGCTGTGCCAATCTGCTGAACAATTTTGGATCAATTGCAGGCTAGAAAGCGAGGGGAGCAGACGAATTCTAAACGTTTCACAGAGGTACTTTGATTTCAAGTCCATGAAAGCAGCATAAGGCGCCAAACACAGAGGTCCTTCTGGAACAATTACAACTTCATCGCCCTGGAGTAAGTCTCTTATAGGGTCTATAACAACATTGTAAAATGTTTGCAATGACTTTGTCTCAAAACATGAAGGATGAGACTTTGGCTTAATCGATGTTTCTTCGGCTAACTTTTTATCGCTTGGCCTCATTAATGAGCGATCTTCACAATTAACATCAGCTCTTGCATCTATTTCTTTATGCGTAGCCTCCAATAGAGACTGAAAATAGCTTGTGACGGAGATATCGATCTGAGTTCTTCTGGTTTTGATTTCTTTTCCTTTCTCATTCACCCAGAGAACTATTCCTCCCTTGTTGATACCAATGAAAGCTGTATTTGGTGGCAGGTAACTAAGAATGTCAGGCGTTGTTGCAGAGAGTGTTTCTATTTCTGGACGTAACCCTTTCAACCCATACTTGAACTCCAGAAGATCGTTTAAAGCTTGTGCACGTCCATGATCAGCAATTAAAACTGCCTCATTGACATTACCTTGCTCAAACTGTAGCCCCCATAGGCGTAAATTAGTACGATCATACATACTCCTCAGGCTAATCTTCCATTCGTCGTTAGATATAAGATTTCCCTGATATAGTCCAAGGCAGTAATACCTTTTTTATAATAGGAAACGGCTTTCTGGAAATCTCCAAGATTTCTATAGGCGACGCCAAGATTACAGTACTCTTTTCCTTCTCCTGCCCTGTCTCCCACTTCTTTCGAAATTTTGAGGTGTCGTTCACGGTACTCTATGGCTTTCCGGAAATCTCCAAGACTGTGATAGGCGTTGCCAAGATTACCGTACGCTTTTCCTTCTCCTGCCCTGTCTCCCACTTCTTTCGAACTTTTGAGGTGTCGTTCATGGTACTCTATGGCTTTCTGGAAATCTCCAACACTGTAATAGGCGTTGCCAAGATTACCGTACGCTTTTCCTTCTCCTACCCTGTCTCCCACTTCTTTCGAAATTTTGAGATGTCGTTCATAGTACTCTATGGCTTTCTGGAAATCTCCAAGACTGTGATAGGCGTTGCCAAGATTACAGTACGCTTTTCCTTCTCCTGCCCTGTCTCCCACTTCTTTCGAACTTTTGAGGTGTCGTTCACGGTACTCTACGGCTTTCTGGAAATCTCCAAGACTGTGATAGGCGGTGCCAAGATTACCGTACGCTTTTCCTTCTCCTGCCCTGTCTCCCACTTCTTTCGAAATGTTGAGGTGTCGTTCATGGGACTCTATGGCTTTCTGGAAATCTCCAAGACTGTGATAGGCGTTGCCAAGATTACCGTACGTTTTTCCTTCTCCTGCCCTGTCTCCCACTTCTTTCGAAATTTTGAGGTGTCGTTCATGGTACTCTATGGCTTTCTGAAAATCTCCAAGACTGTCATAGGCGTTGCCAAGATTACCGTACGCTTTTCCTTCTCCTGACCTGTCTCCCACTTCTTTCGAAATTTTGAGGTGTCGTTCATGGTACTCTATGGCTTTCTGGAAATCTCCAAGACTGTCATAAGCGTTGCCAAAATTACAGTACGCTGTTCCTTCTCCTGCCCTGTCTCCCACTTCTTTCGAAATTTTGAGGTCTCGTTCATGGTACTCTATGGCTTTCTGGAAATCTCCAAGATTGTGATAGGCGTTGCCAAGATTACCGTACGCTTTTCCTTCTCCTGCCCTGTCTCCCACTTCTTTCGAAATTTTGAGGTGTCGTTCATGGTACTCTATGGCTTTCTGGAAATCTCCAAGACTGTTATAGGCGTTGCCAAGATTACCGTACGCTCTTCCTTCTCCTGCCCTGTCTCCCACTTCTTTTGAAATTTTGAGGTCTCGTTCATGGTACTCTATGGCTTTCTGGAAATCTCCAAGACTGTGATAGGCGTTGCCAAGATTACCGTACGCTCTTCCTTCTCCTGCCCTGTCTCCCACTTCTTTCGAAATTTTGAGGTGTCGTTCATGGTACTCTATGGCTTTCCCGAAATCTCCCAGACTGTAATAGGCGATGCCTAAGGCGTGCTGGAAATCTTTAAAGTTGACAAAGACGTCGCCAATATTACCATTAATAGCTGTGGTTGTCATTTTTTTTTGCTGGCTTTGCTATTTCAGCTCAGCCACATATTGTGGTTCCTTTTTTCTACTGATACCATCAGTCTCTTTGTCTACGATAACGAAGAGGGTCTGAAAAGTAAAATTAAAAGCTTATTTATTAGCCCCTTTACTATTCGTTTTTGTCGATCACAGTCGCATTTGATTTGCCTTAAAAGGGATCCTTCTACGTGTTTTCATCGTTGTATAATATGACTTGATGGACTGGGGTCTTCTCTCAAAAGGAAAATATTAACATTCGTTTGGTGATAATGATCGAAATTGAAAAAAACCAACAACAACAAAGAAACATATTTACCATTGTTGAAACATGGTGTATATATAGAGGATATTATATGGCCGCGCGGAGATGGAAATTCTCTTTGAGTGTTGAAAAATATTTTACTCGTTCGCTGCGCTCACTCGTGAATATTTTTTTCAACATGAGAAGAGAAATTTCGTATCGCCAAGCGACCATGTAATGTTCTATTTATTATATAAACACCAGCGAAATACCAACCATTTTACTTAAGTACTTTTTTGGTCTCAAAGGTGCGGTATATTATGAAGCTATAGCAACGATGACATTTTCACATGTGAAGATAATATGTTATTTTCACATGTCAAGATATCAAGATTTCGCGCGAAAGCTCACTTGGTATTTCATTGGTGTTTATTGCCCCCGGCAGGGATTTCGCCCATAGGCGAAATCCCGTGGAGGCACCCTATTAACTCGCGCGTATATTAAGGACAGTACTTACAGTTCAAATATACAGTCAGTATACTAGAAAAAATCTTGATTTGCTCGAACTGGGGCCGCGAGGAATCGGTAGGTAATGATGACGTTTCTAATTGTTTGCGCCCGCAAGTACGAAATGGTTAGGATGACGTAAAGACAAAAAACCCGGAGGGACCGCTCAGGTAGATTACTTCTATACTCTTTTGCGTTACCCAGTGACATTCTGTGGAGCAGTTGTTTTGAAAGTTATGGTCGTTAAGCGCAGGGGAGGTTATATGGTGCGTTTAACTGTGTATATATAAACAATTGGAGAGTTTGCCAGACACGAGTTCACAAATCTGTGATTTATATTGGAAACCGTGCCAGACACTCTTTCTCTCTCTTTGACCGTCGGAATAAGACTCAGCCCCAAAGCTTATCAGCTTATCACTAGCAGAATGATGAACATTTACAGAAATTCGCCGAAAATCAATTTCTGTGCTGACTTATTCCCTGCTCACAGATGTCCTTCCGTTATAAAGTTTCAAATAAGACTAGGATGCGCTAGCGTGAATCGATCAAACGTCATTTTAATTTCTAAGGCTTACTTTCCGGCAAATAAAATGAACTGAATGTGAAAAGGGAAAGAGAAATAGCGAGAAATTCAACTTCTAATTAAATCTTTTCTTATGGTTTAGAATAAACTATTTTCGAAACTGAGAATGTTTTGATCAAAGTTGTGTTAATTGAGCTGAAACTGTGCATGGAACCTTGCGTTTCCTGTATTTATCAGTATTCCTGTATGTATCAGTATTTATCTCACCTATTGTATGGAATATGTGTGAAAATCTTCATTATGAATCGGTATATTTCAAAGAGCTACACAACCAGCAAGAATACTATTCACCGACAATATACAGAACGGGGTCTAGTGTCAACTATTACTAGTATAATAAAAATTGTCTATCTATTCATTATACAGTCATCTACCTTCCACTGAAAAAAGAAATTTGTTGTCAGCAAACTACAAACCCGGCCAGCGGAAATATTTCAGAAAATTCAAATTTGGGAAAGTGAACTTTTTTGTAAGGGTTAACATCTCTGGGTAGCGGAATACAAGTGTTTGGCGATTGAAAAGAAAACCTATTTCTTTACCACCAAACACTGAGAAAGTTACAGCTTGTGGGGTTTCAAAAAACTGTAATAGTTCCACAGCTGGTTCCAGCTCAAGTCCAACTCGGTGTAAAAACCTGAGGAGTTTTTCTTTTATCCCTCCTATTTTCTTAAGTAGATCTATAATTAGGATGAGCATGATCGTCCGAGGGCTGACGTAGTACTAAATAGGACTGTTGCATTGAAATTGACTGACGCGCGGTAATCATCTGCAGAGTCAAAGTGAGTTGTATTACGTCAATTGATGGTACAGTCGAACTTCCACGTGGGACCACCTCTCGTAAGCGACCACCTCCGATAAGAGACCGCCAATCCAAAACTCATGCACCAAAACTTTCCCACTCAAAGCCTTACAGTTTGAACCTCTAGTAAACGACCACCTCTTGTAAGTGACCGCGGACACTTTTTGGGCCTGAAAGTTTAATGATTTTCCATTGTTTTTAAGCTCTAGTAAGCAACCAAACTCTACCACTTGACGCACTCTCTGATCCCTAGTTTGCTGTGTGCACTATGCTACTTAGAATATACGGCATGTACGAAGAACTTTAGAAACAACATTGAACTCAGTACACATGGCGTAACTTAGAAATTGCATACAATAAATCATGTTTCATAAAGTACTGTGCCCAGACCTCTTCTGGGAAGAGGCCCCCTATGGTTCGACTCTTGTAAGCGACCACTAAGTCTTTGCATTTTGGGTGCTCGCTTACGGAAGGTTCGACTGTATTAAACTCTGGTTATTGATCTGATTGGACAATTTCGCGATGCTATTGGTCGTCTGTCAGTTAAGTAGTGAATATTGGCTATGAAGACTCGTAATGTAATTGGACAGTTGACTTTCCATCCGTCTATATTGTCACAGTTAAACAGTCGTTTATGTTAGTCAAATTGTCGGTTGTCCAGTCATTCTCTCGTAATTAGTTTTGCTTGAATCCGTCAATAAAGTCGTTTGTACGGTACCGGCAACTGTTGACTACGATTCAATGACGTTTGTTCTCAGTTAAAAACCAGCTTTCTAAAGTGGGTCGTTCATAGTAGTCTGAGAATACGTAATACATGTCGCAGCGTCCCAGTCGATTTGATCGATGTTTCGTTTGTAAATGGTGATCAGCAATGTGATTGTTGACGTCACCATTTCTCGTCGCTCGTTTGTGTTCGGTCAGTTGCGTGCTAAGGTTTCTGCCGGTTTCACCAATGTAAGTAGCCTGACAGCCGCAGCATTTGATCTTTAATACTGCTCCTTGTCTGTCCTCCGGTTTGTCTTTGTCCTTGACATTAGTGTGCAACACGTATATTGTAAGGTTGTAGTATACGCGCGATAGTTTCAGAGGTGCCTCTGAAACTATCGCACGTATACTATACCAAAAAGAGTGATAAATAGTTTGGATAAAGCGATTTTAAAAATCATCCACGTTTCTTTGTCCGGAAATAAGACCACTTGTCCGGAGATGGGTAGCCCGCGAACAGCAGACGTATTTCCGGTCGTCGCTTCTAGGAAATGGGACGAGTAAAATTGGTTTTTGACGGCACTAATTTCTTTTACGTGATAAAAGTTACGTCATTATCTCTGTAGCAACGAATTATTAATCTGGCGCATGCTCAACGGAAAATCTCAAGCGGCTTCCTGCACAGGTTTCTCACGGGGCGTAAACAAACCAACTACGCGACACACAAGCCACGCAAATGACTTCGTGAACGCTAAAAGCAGAGAAATCTCTGCTCGCAGGGTAGTAAACAGTAAGGTGAAAACGTAATTACTGAAATAGAAAATCAGATTACATGTAGCAATGTCATTAAGGATGCAGTTCATGAGAATTATCAAAAGTGATCATGACTTATGATTATTGAATATGCGGGCCTTCATTATCAAGCACTGAATCCATGTAAAAAGTACAAATTTTTTAGCACTTATGCAAGTGTTTAAAGAAAGAAAATACTCATGCAAGAGTGAATTTGTATGAAATGTCCACAAACAAGGTGATCCGTTTCTCCATTGGTCTCCATTCTAAACATGCATGAGCTTATTGAGACAGTGCATGAGAGAGCCATAAATTTTGAAATTTAATGTACAATGTACACTTTCCCTGTAATACATTAATTTATCGTAAATGTAAAGTGCAGAATGGATTGATTTTATAGGAAACCCTATGTAATTATCTACTTGCATGTCGTTTAATTTTTTGAAACAATCTTCTTTTGCCAATGGAACAGTTAAATTTTACCTGACTCATACTGAAATTCCCTGACTTATTATGATATACACCGCAGAAGCAAAGATTGAAAATCATTTGATACGCTAGCGAAGTGTAATGAACTAGTTTAATATGTCACTTGTCCACTCACTCCATAGCTCGCGTGCTTTAAACCTTACCGTGGACAGTTTTCAGACAAATAACTCACGGACTTTCATACAATAGACTTTTTTACTGATACGGCGGCCATATTGAATTAATTCGATTTAAGGAGTAACACAAGCCTCAGCGTTCCGGAAGGTAAAAAATGCGAAGCGTCTGGTTGCTATGTAGTGACGCTATCATCCAGTTGAGTATCTATCATCGTAACACTTTTGCGGTCAACTACCGCAGCGCTCGTAAAGTACTTTTTAAAATTAAAATCGTGTTCAAACCCCTGTGGAGGAAGTCTGTTTATTTTTGAGTCGGTAAATGCACTTCTGACGTTCACGAGGTTCAATTTTGCATAAATTATCAAAAATTTTGTTAAGCGGGAAATCTACCTCCAGTTCGCGTTAAACGGAACTGTATAGCAGCGCAAGACAAATGTTTCGAGAGTCGAGGATGTGCTTACAAACTATTCACTATACCTATGCAACGAAAGGTGAAATCACCGGCATGATAGCTCCTGCAATGGTAATTACATCAATCCAGGTCGCGACCGAGTTCACTCCAGAAGGCTGCGACTACTTCGTTTTGGCGCGCTTTTCAATACTTCCAAAACATGTTGTGATTGGTAAGTAGACTCAAGGACTTAGTTTCTCCAGGAGCCCATAAGTCACTTATCCCCCTTGCATATCAATACATAATCCCCTCGCATTTTAATTAGCTTTTCATAGAGAAAAAATTTACAAATGTTTATTGGAAATATTGAACACGACACTATAATTCCTAAAATTAAACTGAGTTGCGTTTCTTTTGCGCCACATTCACAGATTTTCTTAGTTGTTGGTTCATCGATTTCCACAGCCAGAACGACAGTCTGAAATTGAACAGCGTCTTTAAAATTCTACGGTTCCACGAAAGGTGTTCCGTTCTTTAAACAGTCATCCCAAACTCGTGTACCCCATGAAGACATGTAGTTACCTCTTTGTGTTTTGTGGTATTCTTGCTTCATTCCTCGACTGAATTTCCTCGTCAGTTACAGTAGTGAACCTTCGCCCGGAATCTTCTTTATCTGTAAACATGCAGGTTGCTCGAAAGATCCTTGGTGCGAAAATTGAAATTGTCAATGATTACTCGTTGTCTGCCTCCGAAATGAAGAGTCAAAATTGTTCTCCGAAAGCTCAATTGCAGTACCGCCATTAAAGCTGCTTTAGTTTGAGTAATAAACAGCTCTACTTCTAATAGATCTGAATCGGTCGACACTGCTAGGCTCTTTAGGCTGTTGCTAGCATTCACTACGAACAACTAATTCGAAATGCAACTTTGAGAAACTAACATAATTAAAAAGCCGAGAAACTTGTGAATCCCACCGCACCAGTGCCAGCATGGAGTGTTAAAAGTGTGGAGTGGAGTGTTTTTCGTCAATGTATTTTTGCATCCCTTGAGGAATCCTCGCCAATGTAAAAATAAGCCATTTATCGGCCTTCAGCTCTGGGTTATGTGATTTATTCCCCTCGTGCGTTGCCCTCGGGCGAACGCACGAGGGGAATAAATCACACAACCCCGAGCTGAAGGCCGATAACCCTTACGTGTTATTTGTCAGTAATTTTTAGTATTTGCTGTTAATTTGGCCAATTTTTTAATGCTTCCTGTTTCCGGAGAAAATACTGTTAAGTGTTGAAGGGTTTTTCGTGGAAACCCCATAGTCTTTTAGCTCTGCTCAAATCACCCATGAACTTTGATCCCGCGCTTTAAGAGGCTGTAGCTGTAGTCTCTTTTTTCCACCCATGCGCAACAGTATTCTACTGGGAAGCCTGGGGAAAACTGGGTACCAATCTCGTGCCAGGAGCCCACGATCCTTTACCAAGTCAAAAGATCATGGCGGCGATAGAGGCGTCGAGTGAATTCTCCTCCCCCAGAAATACACCCTGTGGCACGAATTTTTTGCGGGAGTTTATTTTTGCGGATTGGCGGTTTTTTGTGTTTTGCGGGAACTAATTTTTGCGATAAGGACAGATTGATTTTTCTTGCTGGAAATTAATTTTTCCAGTTTTCAGAAAGTACCCAGTACCCAGCATTGATAGTATTTTCGTTTTTATTGAGCACGTGCAACGGAAATACATATTTTCAAACAATACTACGGTGTGCGTACCCACTGTAAAACCTTCTTCGTGGCATGTCTGTAAAGTAGCTAATTACCTAAGAATATTAACCACGTTCAATAAAGGGTATTGTATGTATTGTTGTATTGTAACCGGTATTTCATTGTATACCGTTTAGTTTGTGTAGCGAATTTAAGTTATAGAGAATATCTACTGTGGCAAAAATTTTTGCGGAAAAAATGTTTGCGGTATTTTTTATTTGCGGGAACTTATTTTTGCGGATCACTTGAAAAATCGCAAAACCCGCAAAAATTAGAACCCGCAAAAATTTCGTGCCACACGGTAGTCGTAAATTTTCGAATTTCTCCTTGGAAAACTTCGGAAATCTTCCGAAATGATCGGGAATCGTCGGAAAGTGGCCGAAAACTTCTTGATATACTGAAAATAACATTGCCCTTTTTGGAGCCTTTTTTTGTTTCCTTCTGGATAAAATTTACAGTTACAGAGAATTTTTTACTTTTAGTGTTAAAATGCCTAAAATTAAACTGTTTTATGTTACAGAGCCAAAAAAAATTAAGTGTTTAGTGTTATCGATGTACCCCCATTCAGACCCTCCAATAAATCCCTACCTCAATGGCACTAATAAATTCGAGAGTAATCTCAGTGATGTACTGGAGATCTTGATAGTCCGCTTGATTTAACACGACGAAAAAGGTCTACGAGGAAATCACATTTAACACAAGTTTAACACTTCGTACTTAAATGTCACTGAGAGAATTTTCCTTCACAAAATAAACTGGACTTCCACAAAACTAACCTATTAACGGAGTCCACAATCAACCCTTTTGGAAACAGAAAGATGAACCTAAGGGAGTTTCCCTTTCTTTGTTTCAGTTTCATCGAATGAAGCTAGCAAAAGTGACGTATACTTCCAGAAATTAAAATATGATAACTCGCAAAAAGCCGTAATCCATAAAAATAGAAAACTACGGGGGAATTAAACTATATGAGTGTCACATAAAACCCAATACAGTTTCCTGAACAAAAACACGAAAAGCTCACATAAAGGATCAAAACGAACGTACAGTAGAACCGAACGAAACACGTACAGGGAAACGAAAAAACTGTTGGAGTTGGAAGGGGGTTCGAGTTATCGGGGTCGATTGAATATTCATTTTACCACGTTAATAACCGATCGTTTACTGAATTTTCAGCACTTTCGTATACCTTACAGAGCAAATTAAACTTATCGGAAACTTTAACCCTTAGGGTCCGGTTACGTTAATTTATAATTTTGTCAGAATTTGCATCACGCGTGGAAAGCGCATGATTTCTTAGTGAGACAGAATGTATCTTCTTGGTGGTTGCAGATACCTAGCAAACAAGGCGTTAACAAATTGAGCGTGGAGTTAAATGTGTGACAAAATTGGTGTAAAGTAAAATGTGCGAAAAACGTAAAAATGGGGCGCAGTATGTATGAGAAGTACAATAAATTTGAATAAAATACAACGAGCTAATGAGCGGGTGTCACAGGAGCAGAGTCATTCAAAAGGCATAAAAGATAGACTCTAAACAAAAGGTCCACAAATTTGTTGCATTCCTCACGGGAGTTGAGGGCTGGCTCAATGTAAATCAAGCTGCAAAAAACACGCTGGTTCAGACAAAAATTTGGGCGTTGAACCGTATTTCTTTTTGATTGGCTGAAAAACAGGGCACTAATAGCCCTTAAAAGAAGAAATGGTAAACTTGCTCACCTATTAGGTCCTCAGCAACAACTCAACAAACGCAATCCACATGCAGTCCACAACCAACGGTCACACACTGGATCACTCGGCCTCGAACCACAAGGAGTAAATGCAAGGCCTTGACGTCACTGCCCAAATATGGGGTATTACTTACACCCAAATATGGGCAAAAAAGAAAAGGCGAAAAGAAAGCCTGAAAAAAATTCAGGCTTCTACGGGATTATAACAATGGAAATAAAAATTTACTACTGACTCCTGGTGTTCTTGAAGTGACTATTGAACTGAAGGTTGCAAGTGCACAAGCTCTGCATACGGCTAGTCGAAAATTTATCTTTGAACTACGAAAAGATTTAACTTATTATTGTCCCCAATTAGCTGAACAAATCGACACTTAATTAAAGTTGACATTTCATGTTAATTTTTCTCGCCTATTCTCGAAAAATAGACACTCGAAAAGCTTCATCGTACTTTTTTTCTCCACAAAAGTTAGAACACTTATTTCCGTTGAAGGAGGTGAAGCCCTCTCTCGATGATCGCTAGATAATAAATGACATTCTCGTTAAGACTCGTCGTAGAATGACGATGACTGTCCAATTTTCCCGGTTCGCGCGCGCGCGCACTAGTTAGTATTGGGAAAATCTTGTTCTCGTCCTCGTCTTAGAATCTAAAGCTCTGATGGTAAAAACAAGGTACGCGAATAACCCTCTATTATGAAAGAGCAAACCTACGCATATAAAAAAGACGAGTAAATGTAAAACAACTATATATTTTAAAAACTGATTCAAGCTAGTAACTGAACAGAGAATTTGACTCCAGTATTAGAATGGAGGGCTTTCTAAACAGTAACTTTAAACAATCTGACAACAGAAATAAAACTACAACTATGTAAATAATAAAAGCGTAAAAACTATATTAAATTGCCAGTAGGCACGTCTCAAGTGCCTCTGTCATAACAATGGAATAAAAATTTACTACAGATTCCTGATGTTCTTCTTTTTACGACTAGTTGTAAAATAAGCTATGAAAATTACACTTATCTTTGGACTATTTTTTTCAAGCTTTCTTTTCGTAACTGCATAAGTTGCGTATACAACTGCGATGATCTTCCTTCAAATAATTCTTCACTCCGCAGCTCACATATATATGATTTTCATATATTCATAATTTCTTAATTCTATTTGTCCACAGCTTGATAATTGGATGAACTTTTATCATTTATCTTTAATCAGTTAATTGCCAAATAGCATAGCTACCGTATTTACTCGAATAAGCGCCGCCCTCGATTAAGCGCCGCACATGGAGTGGAAAAGTTAATAAGCGCCGCTCTTGAATAAGCGCCGCAGCTCCGGTGCAGCGCTTTTTCGAGTATTTCCACAAGATGATAAAAATACACTGTAATCGCTGCAATGCGATTCTAAGCCAGAAATGGGAATTTATTTTCATCAATAGTGACGTTTTTCAGTTCAAAGTGAGTTTATCTCGACGCTCTTTCATTCAGTTCTCTCTTCAAAATCTTCGTGTTCTTCAGTTCTTGCGTGAAAAAAGCGATAAAAAAAATAATCATGAAGTACATTAAATTGTACAATCAAAATGTTTTGTTTTTGTGGTATGAGCCTTTTAAATAAGCGCCGCCCACGAATAAGCGCCTCATCAGAGACACCTAAAATTAAATAAGCGTCGCGGCGCTTATTCGAGTAAATACGGTATAATCGAGGCAATGGGTGGTCAGCTGCTTAGGCAGTAGGTGACAAACAGATAGAATAGAGAAAAACATCCGAGAAGATGCTTTTAAAAAAGAAAGAAAGAAACCAGAGGATTAAAATTTAACACCGGGTTAGCGCTAATCGCTAATACGTTTCCCCCTGTGGTGTTTTCTATTTAACAATATTGAGTTTACGCAACAGGACGGCAGAAAGAAGAGGACGACTAAACGCTTTTGTGTGACAAACCTGACAGGGCTATTGCTTGCGTGTTTTGTCGCAATCTTCACTTAACGATATGTTTTCCGGTCTTTAACAAATAAATCTGTTTCAGGATAGTGAAGTGTGGCGGAACTTTTGTTCAAAGAAAATTATTGTCACGCTTGTCACACAAGGTTTGCTGTCTTCTTGCCTCTCCCGTCCTGTTGTGTAAGTTCACGAACAGCTGCCTAAAACTGCAGTGCTAAACCATTCATCGATCGGAAAAGTTCATTAACGACATGCTTAGTGTCGCTTTCTACAAAACAGAGATCACTGGACTCTTTGTTTTGGCTACTGACGCAAGACGATTGCGTAGTTGATCCTAAAAGTCCTTTGCTTTGCACTTGTACCTCCCAGCTTAACGTCATATATGTTTGAAGAGACACAAAACGTTTTTTCGAAATAAGAGTCCACGGTTTTCTGTTTCAGATCTGCATAGTATTATAGTATTGGTCTATTTTTTTCCTTCTCTTTTTTCCCTTTGTGTTAAGAAATGTTTACTCTCCTTAAAAACTAAACGGTCTAATTGCCTTGAGTGTGCGTACCTAATTTAGTTTGGAGCGTTGCCCTTTAGCTGTTTTTTTAAATTGCACAATAGACCTTATTCACGATATCCGCCATCTTTGCACGCACTTTAGGATTTGCTGGGATAAAAGCAATGTCACGTGGTATTTCAGGGGGCAAACGAATGTATGATACAATTACCAATACGAGTAATAGCGGCCGAGTTTGTGAAGATCCTCTCACGACGAGACGGCGCTTTCGGTCTTGCAAAATGTACAGTTCGAGTTTCGACAAGTGGTTTATATGGTTTTCCCCCAAAACCATATAAACTCTTTAAATTTTTTTGACGATTTCTCTGATATCCTTGAAAATGGGCAAAGTATTGATTAGTTCCTTCCAAGTAGTAGATGCATGACGAATTTTACAGTTTAACGGAAAAAAATGAAAAATATTTTAAAGAGTTTATATGGTTTTGGGAGACGCTGTCACAAAATTACAGACGTTTGTGTGGATCTTTAACCATGTTTCAAGAGTCATGACTTGATCCCCGGCCTGTTCAACTTTAGAGCACCAAACTTGGTAAAATAACCAATCTCAACATGACCTTTTATATGGCGGTGTCAGTTTATCGATTAGTTTAAATTTGAAACTCGCCCCAGTTCCCTACACAACTCCGAAATGGCCAATTGCACGCTGTAAGGACATCTGTGGTCGCTACTGCATCCAGAAAAGAAACAATGATCACTTCCTCTACTCATATTTGCCATTATCGTCATTAAGATAAAAAGTTCTTCATTTTCTTTTGTCCAGAATAAATAAACTCAACCGCGATTTCTTGCATTGGAATCTTTTATTACTTGTTTGCCCCCTGAGAAACCACATGACATTGCATTGCTTTTATCCTTGCGCACGTGCAAAGATGGCGGACATCGTGAATAAGGTCTAATAGGTCTCTTACGCTCTTACATTGTCCAAGAAAACCAACTTTCTACCTCATTTTTTACTGTACATCGATTGCAAATCGATCTAAGTAGGGAAGGGAGGGTGACTGAGTTGACCAGTAAACATTAAAAAATTACTAGAGGTCGAGAATTTCTGGGGAACTAAGCTCCACAGGTAAACAGCAAAGTGCCGGGTCCACAGTACAGTTCACATTCCACAGGTCAAGAGTAATGCTCATCGATAAATTACCAAACCACACAGATTCCCCTCAAACTAACAGAGCATTTTGTTAAAAGATAAGGGCTAGGAGACACTTTTAATGCTGTTTGTTTATCTGTATCGTGGTGACCTGTACTCTGACAGCAAATCAGTGACCGAGCTAACAAACCTGGAGAAACTAAACTAAGAACTTGTATTTATATGCAAGTAAATAAACCGTATGTGACAGGAAAATGGGTTACATCGGCAAACTTACGACCAACTTGCAGAAAAAAGGTGTCAACAAGAGAAATGAAAAAACTTTATAGTAAAAATGAACGCACGTGAATAAGCCTGTAACAAAATGGTAAAGCTATGTATCGGTCCCTAGAAAGGTCAACACAGGACACCCGGAATGGAATTTTTTTGCACAGTGCCCAGGGGCCCGTTTCTCGAAAGTCCCGATAATTAACGGGCCCGGTAAGCTGTCTCCGTTTACATTAAAGATCGCGGTTTCAATAGTTTTGCATCTAAAGTGATAAAACTATCAGTTAATGAAACAAAATGGAGTAGTTTGCTTGCCAGGACCCGCGCTCTTATTCTTTATATTTCGATTTGAATATTTGATTTCGGGCCCGAAAAGTTACCGGGACTTTCGAGAAACGGGCCCCAGGGCTCATTTTCTTGGCCGCGCGTTGATCTGGCCTGGCTATTTCGTCGAGCATATTCTCGGCCTTTTGGATTACATCCTTCGAGTATGTCAAAGTCTGCCGGATTCGTTTTTCTATCTGGGAAAGCTTCATTGGTTCCTATATCTGCTGCTAACCTATTACCACGATCCTGGCATGTTTATTTTCTGTTGGAGTTCGAATTTCGAGGAAAAAGTTGTGTTGAACGAGAGCATGGCGGCGAAGATGGCATCTCGTGTCTCCTACCTTGTATATTATTATTGTATATAGAGTGAATTGAACAAATTATCACGAACCTTCGTTGGAGCATTAAGGACAACACCAACTAACTGCTGAGTAAGTTTCATTGATCTTTATTTAGTATTTCCTAGAAATTTTAGGATCGTATTTTCACCCCATACACACACTGTAGTCTTACTGGAACGGTATACTGCGGTACTATCACAGAGCTCGGGTTACCTGTGGCAAACCTTACCCCAAAGTAAGGCTTAGCCCTTGGAGACAGGTCCGAGAAAATATCCACTCCGGACCCCGGGTCCCACCAGAACTGTACTCCACCCATCCCAGATGGGGCCCCCTTCTGGTTCCCCGTAGTTCCTAGACACGAGGGGATATGGGCCTTTTGATCTGGACTTTTGTCCAAGTTGTCCAAGGTGCATGGCTACCCATGGTGGTAGGGAAGTACTACCACCAAAATGTTGCCCATTACTTTCGTCTGCTGTTTTCTGTTTAGTAATATTAGGGAGATTTAAGCACGCCAAGACGGCGACGGCAGCGAAAACGTCACTGAAAAGTGAATTCGCACTGCTTCAAACTTTACAGTGCTTATTACATCTCGTGCAACTCGTAAAATATTGGTCAATTTTTCTGGGGTTGAATTCTAAATGACTGTATGACTGTTCAGGAAAAGAAGAAAAAAGTCGTTATCTTGTCTTCAAGTCCTCCACAAAACGTAAACTAAGGCAGTTTCACGTCGTAGTCGTGTATTGACGGCAGAGAAATTTTTGTACAAAAAAGTGTGATGCTCGTGCAAAGTTGTTGTTTTGCTTGTCTTATCCTATTGTTTTTTTGCCGTTGTCGTTGCCGGCGCCGTAGTCGTTGCTAAAGCTCCCTATGATTATAATACTAGATGTAAAAACAATATCCGTAAGAGTGCATCTAATAGGAACTGGGGTCATTGGACCTCGACAAACTTTGCCTCAAACGATTGGAATAAATTAGACCTTTCAATCAGACAAAGCCCATCATTAGCTGGTTTTAAAAGAGTGTTAAGAAATGTAAATAGTTTTTAGTTTAATTTTTATATATTCATATATTAGTCTTTATTTTTCCTTTTTGTCCTTTTTTAATTTTTGAGGACTCTTTTGTAAATCACTTATCAGTGAAATTGATATCCTCAATAAAGATTATTATTATTATTATTATTATTATTATTATTATTAGATGCAACGCAAAACCATCCATCGATCGGAAGAGTTCGAATTCATTAAAACCATTTATTTTTCAACTTTGCTCGGTTTCCTTTGTTCTTTTTAGGAGAATATATTACATAACCCCTGATTATAAATCACTGTCTGAAAAGCTGGTGACGACTTTGATTGTAACAGGGGAGTGCAGAGCTAAAACGATAGCTGATAACAGTAACCAAAAAATGTAATATATATTTTCCTTGCTCATATTTCCCTCGTCATATTCCCTGGCTCATATTCTCTTCCCCTAAAAGAAACAATAGCGAATTTAAGCCGCGACTACGGAAGAACCAATTACGGTGACCGAAAGTACTTTTTTCCCGCCACGCGCCATTGCCCCAAGTTCAAGGAACCACGACGGTGACAGCGGTCCAAACGTCGCTTTTTAATGAAAAGTGAATTCGCATTCTTTCAGACTTTTTCACGATTATTACAAGTCGCTTATTTTGTGAAAGGTATGGGGAAACTCATCAGGAAAAAAGTTTGTCTTTGTTTTTTTTACGTCCTCAATAAAACGTAAAATTAGGCATTTTCACGTCGTCGTCGTGCAGTGATGGCAAAGAAATGTTGATAAAACAATAAGATGCACGTGATAATTGTTGCTTTGCTAATCAAACTTATTGATTGGCAGTATTACGCTTTCCAGTAATAGTCTTGTGAATTTTACCTTTAAACAGTTCCCCAGGTTTCTTGTTTGCTCAGTAAAACTTTGTGAAACTCGAGGGGAAAGCAGCGACAAAAAGGAGCAAACCATGAGCGCGGTTTAGTTTGTTGAGAAAAAAAATGCAGTAAAGCTAATCGCTCATTTCAAGGAAAATTGTTTATGGACTTAGCTCCATTATAGAGAACAAAACGATTCCGTGCTTGGTTATATTTTTGTAGACAAAACGAAATTCTATAGTTTATGTGCTGGGACCTTGGGACTCATGTCGGAAGAGGTTAACGTGAATTTTTTCGGGAGCATCAACTTTTTTGATTTTCACAAGCCATAGAGGCAAAAAGGACGTGTATTGCAGCTATTACGACGATAAGATTGTTACAAACAATTTTCCAGCCATTTCAGAAGACCCAAAAGTCAAATGGCTGTTTAGTTCGAGCTGAATATTTGAGAAAGTTTCTCTGTAAACAAGCTTCTCACCGGATGACCTTCCAAGAATATGTGTAATTCTACCACGTATTCAAGAATTTTCATTTTTCATTGAAACAAAATTTTCAAAGATTAATTTCATGGCAGGAAAGAGAAAGTCGTAAGGTTTATCCTTGTTCAAGAAATGAGATGATTTGTACTTATTTTAAACTTAAGCGAGTTTCTTTTCATAACATTTTAACATGATTATCACACAACCTTGTTCAAGGAAGACTTGGCTCTGATTTTTAATTTTTTTCTCTAAAAGTCCACGTGGCCATGCGATTTACCGCCGAAGCGCGGGGTGTTTGAAATGCAAAATATCACCCCAGCTTACATTAAGGGGTGGACTTACGAACGTACGTACGGACCAATAACATCACGTCGTAATTGACCAATCAGATCAATAACCGGAGTATAACACCATCAACTGACGTGATACAACTCACTTTGACTCTGACGATGACTACCGCACAGGTCACGGTCGAAACGTCAGTCACTGTCAACAACAACAGTCCTATTCAGGACTACGTTCACCCGCAAGATCAAACTCAACTTACTTTTGATAATTTATATTCGTACAAAAAACATCCGAGACGGGAGTGGGGTGGGGTTTAAAGTCTTTGACAAAAAATATGGGAGTTTCTCGTGATTCTTGGTCACTGCAACCACCCCGACACCAATTGTTTGCTTCGTCCCAATGCTTAGGCTCGATTTCCGTTATTCTCTTGGTCCTACTCCTCTTTCCAGAGGAGGTGCAGAGGCTCATTTCACGAACGGACTCTGGTAATCGAGCCGTCCTAATGCTGAACGTTGAAAATAGCCCATTTAGGCGATAGCATCATCGCAGCCTCCACTGACCGCAGTTTCTCAGATGAATGTAACCCCAAAATACTAAAGGATTGTACTGGTTAGGGTCAAATGTTGTCATCGCCCAAATTGCAATTGGACTATTTTCAGCCACGAAAATGTTCCATGTTTCTTCTGTCCAAGACTTAAGGCCCCACCTCCTCCCCTCTTGGGTGTAAACACTCTCTAAACAAAAACAAAACAAAACAAAAAAAACGAGAAGTCCCAAGATCACTACAAAGCTGAAACAACGTGTTTTTAAAACGTTTCGAAAAAGTTCAAAATGACGCTTTGTTTCAGCTTTGCAATAGTCTTTGGACTTCTCGGTTTTTTTTTTTTGCTTCGAATATTTTTAGCCAAAATGTCCTTTTATGTTCTCTTCTTCAAGCAGATTAGATCCTTCTTGAGTTCCTATGTTGACAACCAGCTGGATCTTCGTGTACGGTTTTTGCAGTTTATTTCTTGATCACTCTCTGCCGTGCTAAGCTGGCTCGACTGTAGCTCGATTGCAGCACGGCACTAGCACGACTTGGTTTCAGACGTCGAATTTAGTTCAGTCGAATAGAACGGCTGTTGCCGAAAACAAAACACAAACATAAAGAAACGGTTTAGCAAGCCTTTAAATGTGTTCTAATGTATTTATGATTTATGAAAAGCCAACAGTGTTCCTTAACAAACAAAACTAATTGCTCGTTCTCTTTTCAATTAATATAAACATTTCACTTCAATGATGACTTTTAAAAGGATAATTAGTTTCTGAATAATGGTTATTAACTTCAGTCTGTCTATCGTGTATCGTGATTTTACAACTGGACGACTTCTATTCATAGGCCTTTTGTACTGGTGCCGCTTGTTTAAATTTGTAATTTAGCTGTCTATTTGCGAACAAATAGACAACAGTTATTACTTAGCGGACACAAAGCAAATTAAAGGACGATAAAATGGCACGAGCCTTTTTGAGGAGCTAAAACACATTTATGCAATTTCAGTATGAATTACTAAAAACAACGTCAAAGATATGAAATTCGAGACAAATAAAGAATTCATGGAAAATCTCTCCTTACATTGCCTTCGAGCTTCGACAATCTTTTCACATCTGGTTCTCTTAAGTTCTTCATGATTATAAAACTCAATTTGCTCAGTATCTTCGACCCAATATAAAGTCTAGCACAACCTTCAGAACCTTAAAAGAAATAAAATATCTTGCCACTGCACACACTTTTGGAACTCTCCAAGTTCAAACGTCGATCTTTTCCTGTACCAAACTTAATACCTATTTAGGTCAACCCATATGATAAGTCATTCGACGGTTGATTCAGATGTCGAACTTAATTAGTCGGACTCAATTCATTTTCATGATGTTCAATGGTTTAAAACGCTTACAAGTGAAAACAAATTTTAGTAATTTATGCATTAGATTCTGCATATGAGAAGTTCGACGTTTAAACTGGAACTAAGCAAACATTTAACTACCATGACTGGTCCAGCTAATTTTGAATTTTCCCTTAAATGTGAACCTTTGTCGAAATATTTCTAGTTAATATGTGACCATCTTTATAATTTATAATCCAACTAAATCTCCTTATATTTTCTTAATAATTTCTATATAACTCAACTTCCTCCTATTTTTTAAGTAATTTTGTTTGTAACTGATGCTGATTCTACTCCTTTTTCCTGTATCTTAGCAATCTGTTGTTGATTTTATAAAATCGCGTCTTTCCTCTTCTTTAAGTCTAGTTAAACTAACCTAGGAGGAGCCTGGACCCTACCTAAGCCCCAGGCTTCCAGTTCAGGCTTCCCCGTCACCTTTTTCTGTACATTTATCTACATTCTACAGCCTGTAATGTGACAAAAACAAATAAATCAAAAGAATAAGCATTATTTTCTTTCTCTTCAAGATAAAGAGTTGCCATCCTTGTGAAAAACGCTCCACCTCGGAATTGTGATAAAAATTAAACTGTCTTCAACCTCAGATAATTAGGAACTGCTTCACTGCATTCTTCATCGTAACTATACAACAAAAACAGCAAGGAGAAACGTTAGCAAGCTAGCAGAAGAATAGAGATTTGAGCCAGCGAAGTCAAACAGTTAATATTTTGGCGCCTGACTTCGAAATCATTTCGAGCATAGAATACCATTAAAACCTGTAACTCTCATCGTACGAGAAACCTTATTGTAGATTAACCGATACTTACAACCGAAAATGTTTAATAAAGCCCTCCCCTCCCCCTCCTCTCCAAACCCTCCAGCCTTTTCGGAGAAAGAAAGCGTGAAAGCTCCCTCTCTCTCTTTCAAGCGCGACTACTATTATTCTTAAACAATAGACGCATATGATAGGTGCAAATGTAACTGGACTGAAGGTTCGGACTGGTTGATTGTTGTTCGGCTGTATGATCGAGACATCCAACTAAAGCTTTTCCACTTGGTGTTCTAGTTCTTTATGGAGACCACGATATTTGGTTAATTGAACAAGCCCCCAACCCCTCCCTCAAACATCCTTGAAATAAATAAGTCCCTGGGGAAATTAATATAAGATTTACGGTACTTTCCTGACTTTTAGCTGGTAAGAATATTAAATCTTATAATCAACCATCCACCAAAAATGCCAAAGTTTTTCCACTCAGAGCACCATAACTGAAGCCGGTGACTCTCCTAAGCGATCACCTTCCGTAAGCGACAGAAAATTTTGGGTGGTCGCATACGTTAGGTTCGACTGTAAGTTACAATCATTCGGAAAGAACTCAAACAGGATCACCGTCACTTTAAAATGTAAAGAAATTACGAAATTTGAAATAAATTTTGTAATGTTTAACTGCCAAACAAAGTTTCGACGCTACACGTGGCACAGGTTGAGTTCATTGCCCGATAAGTGAAAAAAATAATTGCTAGTTAAAATGACTATTGCAAATGCGGGGATTATGATCCCAGGATTAATTATATTCCAAAATACCTTGCTATTTAATTGATGCCTTCAAACTCGAGCGTTACGTCATCACCAATGAGAACAAAAGGCGCCCAGTACTTCACTGCGCTAAAGTCGTCAGATTCTCTCATGGATTTCATGGCTTTATTCAGGGCCTCACTGGCACTTCGTCCATGGACTATTTCTTGGTAGAAAACTTTCATGAACTCCATAGTAGCTTTGTCGTCGATCGCCCACAGGGACACCAGAACAGCACGAGCACCAGCACCCAAAAAAGCCCGTGCGATGCCGACCACACCCTCAGATTTGACTTCTCCCCGAGCACTATGACAACAACTAAGTACAACGAGTCTTGCCCTGATGTGCGCCTTTAAAACATCTTTCATAGTTAAAAGATAGTCCTCGGCTGGATCCATGGATGAACGCGTTGTGTTTGGGGCCAAGGCAATTTCTCCTGTTTCCATTTCACCGTGAGCAGCAATATGCACCAAAGCAACAGAGGAAATACGTCTCAAAACTTCATCTTTTGTTGCCTGCTTTCCAACGAGAGGTACAGTGTGAAGAATTTTCCCAATCATCTGCACTTCTTTTTCGGCCCACACTAACTGCTCTAGCGTCGTTACCTCCTGTACCCACGGATCGCCGACGAGAAGAGCGCCAGTCTTGCTGTGCCAATCTGCTGGACAGTCTTGGATTAATCGAAGACTAGAAAGCGAGGGGAGCAGACGAATTCTGAAAGTTTCGCAGAGGTACTTTGATTTCATGTCCATAAAAGTAGCATAAGGCGCCAAACACAGAGGTCCTTCTGGAACAATCACAATTTCATCGCCGTCAAGTAAGTCTCTTATAGGGCCTATAACAACATTGTACAATGTTTGTAATGAATTTGTCTGAAAAGATGAGGAATAAGACCTTGGCTTACTTGATCTTTCTTCCGCTAACTTTTTATCGCTTGGGTTCCTTAATGAGCGATCTTCACAGTTAACATCAGCTCTCACACCTACTTCTTTATGTGTAGCTTCCAGCAGAGACTGAAAATAGGTTGTGACGGAGATACCGATCTCAGTTCTTCTAGTTTTGATTTCTTTTCCTTTCTCGTTCACCCAGAAAACTATTCCTCCCTCGCTGATACCCATGAAAACTGTATTTGGTGGTAAGTAACTAGCAAAGTCACTTGGTCTTGCAGAAAGTGTTCCTATTTCTGGGTGAAGCCCTTTAAGGCCATACTTGAACTCCAGAAGATCGTTTAAAGCTTGTGCACGTCCTTGATCAGCAGTTAAAAGTGCCTCGATGACTTTACCTTCCTTAAACAGCAGCTCCCACAGCCTCAAAGTAATCTTATCATACGTACTTTTAAGGCTAATCTTCCATTCGTCATTTGATATGAGATTTCTCCTAATGTGGTCAAACGCTGTAACACTCTTCTTATAATACTGAACGGCTTTCTGGAAATCTCCAAGACTGTCATAGGCGCTGCCAAGATTACCGTACGCTGTTCCTTCTCCTGCCCTGTCTCCCACTTCTTTCGAAATTTTGAGGTGTCGTTCATGGTACTCTATCGCTTTCTGGAAATCTCCAAGAATGTGATAGGCGTTGCCAAGATTACCGTACGCTCCTCCTTCTCTTGCCCTGTCTCCCACTTCTTTCGAAATTTTGAGGCCTCGTTCATGGTACTCTATGGCTTTCTGGAAATCTCCAAGACGAAAATAGGCGTTGCCAAGATTACCGTACGCTCCTCCTTCTCCTGCCCTGTCTCCCACTTCTTTCGAAATTTTGAGGTGTCGTTCATGGTACTCTATGGCTTTCTGGAAATCTCCAAGAATGTAATAGGCGTTGCCAAGATTACCGTACGCTGTTCCTTCTCCTGCCCTGTCTCCCACTTCTTTCGAAATTTTGAGGTGTCGTTCATGGTACTCTATGGCTTTCTGGAAATCTCCAAGCCTGTAATAGGCGTTGCCAAGATTACCGTACGCTTTTCCTTCTCCTGCCCTGTCTCCCACTTCTTTCGAAATTTTGAGGTCTCGTTCATGGTACTCTATGGCTTTCTGGAAATCTCCAAGACTGTTATAGGCGTTGCCAAGATTACCGTACGCTATTCCTTCTCCTGCCCTGTCTCCCACTTCTTTCGAAATTTTGAGGTGTCGTTCATGGTACTCTATGGCTTTCTGGAAATCTGCAAGACTGTAATAGGCGTTGCCAAGATTACCGTACGCTCCTCCTTCTCCTGCCCTGTCTCCCACTTCTTTCAAAATTTTGAGGTGTCGTTCATGGTACTCTATGGCTTTCTGGAAATCTCCAAGACTGTGATAGGCGTTGCCAAGACTACCGTACGCTCTTCCTTCTCCTGCCCTGTCTCCCACTTCTTTCGAAATTTTGAGGTGTCGTTCATGGTACTCTATGGCTTTCTGGAAATATCCAAGACTGTGATAGGCGTTGCCAAGATTACCGTACGCTTTTCCTTCTCCTGTCCTGTCTCCCACTTCTTTCGAAATTTTGAGGTGTCGTTCATGGTACTCTATGGCTTTCTGGAAATATCCAAGATTTCTGTAGGCGATGCCAAGATTACAGTACGCTTTTCCTTCTCCTGCCCTGTCTCCCACTTCTTTCGAAATTTTGAGGTGTCGTTCATGGTACTCTATGGCTTTCCGGAAATCTCCAAGACTGTAATAGGCGATGCCTAGGGCGTGCTGCAAATCTTTAAAGTTGATATAGGCGTCACCAATATTACCATTAGTAGCTGTGGTTGTCATATTTTTTTCTTTTTTGTTTCCTGGCTTTGCTATTTCAACTCGTCTGAAAAAAAATATATACATATTGTGGTTTCTTTTTTCTGCTGATATCATTTCTCTTTTTGTACGATAACAAAGAGGATTTAAAAAGTACAATTAAAAGCTGGAGTAAAACCTTATTTATTAGCTCCTTTACTATTCGTTCTTGTCTATCACAGTCGCATTTGATTTGCCTCAAAAAGGGATCCTTCTACGTGTTTTTCATCGTTGTATAATATGACTTGATGGACTGGGGTCTTCTCTATAAAAGGAAAATATTAACATTCGTTTGGTAATATTGATCGAAATTAAAAAAAACAACAACAAAGAAACAGATTTACTATTGTCTAAACATGGTGTATATATAGAGGATATTATATGGCCGCGCAGAGATGGGAAAATTCTCTTCAAGTGTTGAAAAATATTTCAACTTAATATTTTTTTCAACACGACAAGAGAAATTTCGTATCTCCAAGCGACCATGTAATGTTCTATTTATTATATAAACACCAATGAAATACCAAACCATTTTACTTAAATAGTTTTTTGGTCTCAAAGGTGAGGTTTATTATGAAGCTATAGCAACGATAACATTTTCACATGTGAAGATATCAAGTTTTCGCACGAAAGCTCACTTGGTATTTCATTGGTGTTTATATAATAAAAATTGTCTTTCTACTCATTATACAGTCTATCAACAAACTACAAACCGGGCCAGCGGAAACATTTCAGAAAATCCAAATTTGGGAAAGTGAACTTATTTCTAAGGGTTAACATCTCTTGGTAGCGGAATACAAGTGTTTAGCAATTGAAAAGAAAACCTATTTCTTTACCGCCAAATCACTGAGAAAGTTACAGGTATTTTAAGCTTGTGGGTTTTCAAAAAACTGTAATAGTTCCACAGGTGGTTCCAGCTCAAGGCCAACTCGGTGTAAAAACCTGAGGAGTTTTTCTTTTTTCCCTCCTATTTTCTTAAGTAGATCTATAAGAAGGATGAGCATGATCGTCCGTGGGCTGACGTAGTACTAAATAGGACTGTTGCATTGACATTGACTGACGCGCAGTAATCATCTTCAGAGTCAAAGTGAGTTGTATTACGTCAGTTGATGATACAGTCGAACCTCCATGTGGGACCAACTCTCGTAAGCGACCACCTCCCATAAGAGACCGCCAATCCAAAACACCAAAACTTTCCCAGTCAAAGCCTTTCAGTTGGAACCTCTAGTAAACGACCACCTCTTGTAAGCGATCTCGACCACTTTTTGGGCCTGAAAGTTTAATGATTTCCCATTGTTTTTAAGCTCTAGTAAGCGACCAAACTCTACCACTTGACGCATTCTCTGATCCCTAGTTCGCTGTGTGCACTATGCTACTTAGAATATACGACATGTACGAAGAACTTTAGAAACAACATTGAACTCAGTACACATGGCGTAACTTAGAAATTGCATACAATAAATTATCTTCCATAAAGTAGATGTGCCCAGTCCTCTTCTGGAAGAGGGCCCCTGTGGTTCGATTCTTGTAAGCGACCACTAAGTCTTTGCATTTTGGGTGCTCGCTTACGGTAGGTTCGACTGTATTAAACTCTGGTTATTGATCTGATTGGACAATTTCGCGATGTTATTGGTCGTCTGTCAGTTAAGTAGTGATTTTAATATTGGCTTGAAGACTCGTATCCGAACTCGTAATGTCATTGGACAGTTGACTTTCCGTACGTCTATATTGTCACAGTTAAACAGTCGTTTATGCTAGTCAAATTGTCGGTTGTCCAGTCATTGTCTCGTAATTATAGTGTTTTGCTTGAGTCCGTCAATAAAGTCGTTTGTACGGTGCCGGTAACTGTTGACTACGATTCAATGACGTTTGTTCTCAGTAAACCAGATTTCTAAAGAGAGTCGTTGATAGTAGTCTGAGAATACGTAATACATGTCGCAGAGTCCCAGTCGATTTGATGTTTCGTCTGTAAATGGTGATCAGCAATGTGATTGTTGTTGATTTCTCGTCGCTCGTTTGCGTTCGGTCAGTCGCGTGCTAAGGTTTCTGCCGGTTTCACCAATGTAAGTAGACTGGCAGTCGCAGCATTTGATCTTTAATAATGCTTCCTTTCTGCCCTCCGGTTTGTCTTTTTCCTTGACATTTGTGCGCAAGAGGAGCAAATGGGTAGCCTGCAAACAGCAGACGTATTTCCGGTCACTTGTTTCCATCAGCCAAACTGACATTTTCCTCTCAGTGGCTCTCAGAAGACATTTCACTTTTCTGACGTGAAATTTCTCTTTCTCTTGAAATTTCTGTTCATAAAAGTCTAAGTCTCTTCAATTTTTAAAAGGGAAAAAAAAATTCAAGATGCATGGCACGAGTAGGATTCGATCTCGGAGCATCGGCTCTGCAGTGCACTACTTTAACCCCTACAGCACCGAGGATTTGCTGACTATAAACGGTTTGATTTGAAAATATATAGCAACAACCCTAACCCTAACCCTAACCTAACACTAACCCTAACCCTTACTTTGTGTACCCATCATTAATCTGTCAACGTCAGTTTGGCGGATAGAAATAAGTGTTGACCCCACTAATTTCTTTTAGGTGATAAAATTTACGTCATTATCTCTGTAGCAACGAATTATTAATCTGGCGCATGCTCAACGGAAATCCCAAGCGGACTGTCTTCATCATATTCTTAAAATATAGCTAAAGTTTAGTGCGTGAAGTGCTTGATGGCCACTTAATAGAGTTGACAACTATGGAACGTTGGAACGGCAGAAAGGTGGCCGCGATCGCTTAATAGAGGTGGCCGCTTAAGAGAGGTTTAATTTCCCATTTTTTTCTACAATTATTTGCAGTCTGTTCACAGACCCTCTATTTTCTCTTCAAAGTCCGTCGAGCGCGAGTCGGTAATAAAAAATAAAGCCTGTGCACAGACCCCCCCCCCCCTCCCCACCTCAGTAAAAATTCGGAGAAGGAGCCCGATCTCCGATCGTTACTGAGGGGAGGGGGGTCCGTACGCAGGCTAGAAAAAAATATAAACCGCGGGGGATTTATTGACCGCTAGCGCAAGGGGGTAGGGGTGGGAGAAGAAGAAAATAGACGGACGTTCTTTACTTTTCTTTCTCGCGCTCCGCACTTGCCGATGTTTTCGAAAAGAACGAAAAGAAAAATAAAACAACGTCTGTATACAGGCTTTATTAGAGGTGGCCGCTCAATAGAGGTTTAAGTTCCCATTCTTTTCTAAAATTACTTTGGAACTTTGATTACTGGCCGCTTAATGGAGGTTCAACTGTATACAGAGTGGGATGATAACCATGTATGCACGAGTAATTTGCGAGTCAGGCGTGAGAAATTGTCAGCTGAATTGTCCTTGATGCGCGAGATCGATGTCTTTAGTTCGCAGCCGTGAGACTCACCCACGTGCGTGAGAGGTGGCGGGTATACAACCAAATAATGTATAATGCAAAGGTAAAGGTAGTACCGTGGCTCATAGGGACAAAACACTTCTCAGAATCTAAAACACTTCCCAGAATCCAAAATAATTCCTAGAATCCAAAACACTTTTGGATTCTGGGAAGTGTTTTGGCGAAGTGTTTTTGGATTCTGCGACGTGTTCTGGATTCTGGGACGTGTTTTGTCCCTATGAGCCACCGTATAAAGGAACCTTAAGTGTAACTTCAGCCTATGCAATGCGTACCTCAGTTATAAATTCCCAAACAGTCTTGATACTTCGCTTGACTTGTCACTACCAAGGGATCTACGAGCAAATCATATTTTGTTCGACAAGTTTAAGTATCAAAGTCAATTGTATTTTCCTCCACAAATAACAGGCACTTGTACAAACCTTACATGAAGCAACAATCAACCCCTCTACCAAGAAAATGTTGAACTTATGGGATTTTCCGTTCCTTTAATATAATTTAAAAGCTTTCCGTTTCACTTTGATCAACTAAATTACGTCAACAAAAGTGATGTAAGTGCTCCCAGAAACAGCTCCCAAAATGCAGCCATCCAGGAAAATTTGAAAACTAATGAAGCATACGAGGCGTCACATTAAATCTAATATACAGTTATTAATATTTCTCTGCACAAAATAACAAAAACCTCACAAAAAGATCTTATAACAGATGTTGTAGACAGATGGAATCTTCCACTAAGGAAGTTGGTCTGAGACTTTGTTTTTCTCTGAATATACTGCCGGATATGATTCGTGCCGGATGAGTGACCTTCTAAAGAGGCTCAGTCATTTTGTGTTTGATTTGAAGTAAAATGGAATTTCAATTGACATCGCAGATGTGCTGTCATATGTCCTACCCCTGGGACTTGCTTGACAACCGGTCTGGTGACAAATTTAACTCGTAATATTGCGAAAGATAGTTTTTCCTCAAACTCCTCCCAACTTTATATCTCCGCTAAAATCTTATCAAGTTGATATGAATTCACTACAAGAGATTGTAGTGTATTGAGGCAGTTTGCCGTTTTTAATCCTCCACTAATAACGTGGTATCAAATTACCCACCTCTTCCTCCCCTCCTTCCTTCCAATCCCTTACTCCTTTAGACAAATTCTCGCTTTCCGTGCTCATTAGTAAGCAAACAGCTCGGAGTTTTTCTCTCCCCAGGGTGGGAACTCATTGATGGTTCTGTTTTATCATTATCGATACAGTAAAAACCCGCGTATAACAACCTAGATTTTAAGAACCACATTCACGCTGGATTTCCATTGACCGTATGTGCAATTCCTTGTTTGTTGTTACGTAAGCATTAAAACTACCTTTCAAAGAGTACGGAATCCTTTTAAACAAATCGTTTGTAATAAGAAATATTAAATAACCGACGACGAAACTTCTAGACCATAAATAAGCGAAAGGGATGATCGCAGGGAACTGTTTTGCCCTTAACCGA